GCTGTTGCAGGCAGGGGCGGGGGGCTCTGGCCGGAGGCAGAGGAGCCGGCGGGACCTGGTGCTGGCCAAGAGGGTGGCAAGGTTGTGGGTCTTGGTTCATGAGATAAAAACAGCCGGCCCCAAGCACAGAAACTCATTAAGCCAGTCCTGGCAGCGCTCATCAGCCAGCCGTGAGTCTCCCAGAGATGTGGGAAGCACATGGAGTGGGATGGGGGGATCTGTTGACCCCAAGCATGGAGCAATTTCCCTTCCCAAAGCCAGGGAGGCTGAGAGCCAGCTCTGCGGGGACTGAAAGGGTTTGGGGTGCTCCCTGCCCTGCAAACACAGCTGGGGGGGGGGTTCTCCAGGCTGTGCACACCAGGCACCGTGGTGGCACCCCCATCCCCAGGCACCCCAATCACAGAATCACAGAATCACAGAATGGTTTGGGTTGGAAGGGACCTGAAAGACCATTGAGTTCCACCCCCTGCCATGGGCAGGGACACCTCCCACTAGCCCAGGTTGCTCAAAGCCTCATCCAGCCTGGCCTTGAACACCTCCAGGGATGGGGCATCCACAGCTTCTCTGGGCAACCTGGGCCACTGCCTCACCACCCGCACAGGAAAAATAATCATTTCTGGCCACACACGGTGCTGGCAGAGCCGGCAGGTTGCTAAGAGCAGCTCCCATCTCCAGCCACGCTCTGGAGAGGGATTTAATGAGGGCAGTGACTGAAGTGCCATTAACCAGCGCTGTCACTGACGTTTCTTGCCTTATGCAAACCGTCGCACGGGTAGGGAGCACACAAGCAGAAAGGGAACATCTGCCCCCCTGAGCCGTGCCCAGCAACGCCGGGCAGGCTGCAGATGGGAGCAGCCTCAACGCCGGGAGCAGGAATACCTCATCCCCAACACGGGGATGTTTCGAGCACACGGGCTGTCCCATGTCCCCTGGGACGCAGGGTGCTACGCAACCGCCCTGGCAGTACTGAGGCATTGTGTGCTCCGGGGATTAAAACACAAAGTGGCCAAAATCTGTCCTCCGTGGGCTGCAGAGCAGCTGCAGAGGTGCCCAAGCTGCCGGGGAGCCCACGAGCCACACCGACGGAGGAGAAATCCCCGCTGGAAAGGCAGGCGAGGAACCCAGCACCTCACCAGATGACACTGTCTGCACGGCATTGCTGGCCCTGGACACTTACCAGCGCCCAGGAGATGTCAGGGAAGAGATTTATAATCTCTTGGGTGCTATGCATCCTGCTGACGCCCAGGCAGGGCACGGTTTGTGCCAGCCACCCACCTCCAGCCCTCCCACGCCAGCATGGACGGCCGCAGGCGGGTGATGCTGGAGGGGGGGTTGGTGCAGGGGAAGGAGCTGGGAAAGGGGAAGATTGGGCTTTAAAAAGGGGAAATGAAGACCGAAGCTTTAAAGATTGATAGCACAGTATAAATTAGGTGGGGGGAAGAACTAAACACACGTGCTCCCCGCAGCCATCCCTCCCAGCTGGCAGCACTGGGGGCTGAGTTTTGCAATTAAAAATTCATTGGTGCGGACAGCGGCGCCGCTTTGCCCAGCCCTTGGAGGGGGAGAGCAATAAAATAAAACAAAGCAGATCGTTTTCCTTGCTTTCCTGAAGTGAAGATGTAGGGGAGGATTTTGCAGCACTCAGCTGGGAGGGGGCTCATACTCCCACCGTGCCTGGGGAGGGGACGGAGGCAGAGCCCACCATGGCCAAGTCGGAGCTGCTGCAGCTCGTCCCTTCTGCCCTGATTCTGGCCCCGGCGTTAGACGGTGACGTGCCGGAGGGCGAAACTGGGAGCGGGTTTCCTGCCTCTTTATGGGCAGTTTCACGGTTTCGTGGCTGCGCCGTGCCAAGCCTTGCGCTGGGCTGGTGTTTGCTTGGAAGGAAACAAACAAAGGGCAGCTCTTCTGCAGCGGGAGGAGGTGAGGGACCCCTGGGCACAGTGGTGGTGGGGGCTGAACCCTGGGGAAATCCCATAGCCACTGCTGGGGAGAGGAGGGGGCTGCAGCCAGCAGCACAAGTGACGGCAACATCAGCCAAATCCTGCTCCTGTGACTCCCTTGCAGAATCCTGCAGGAGCTGGGGGGGCCCATGGAGGTTTGGGGGTGCCCCATCACCCATTAGTGCTTGCAAGCAGGGTCTGACCCTCCTGCAGAGGGCTTTCCCCCTGGGGAAACCACCAGATCCCAACGGCTGTGCCCGGGCAGAGCGGAGGAACCAGATCCCCTGAGCCCCTGGCTGCAGGCGAGGGGGCCGATGGCCGGACGCGGCCAAGGTCAGGCGGCAGCAGGTGAACGTGCTGGATCCGGCACTCGGGTTTCCCTCCTCCCTGTCCAAA